ATGGGCAACGCCGCCGCCGCCAAGAAGGGCAGCGAGCAGGAGAGCGGTGAGTGCCCAGGCCGTGACCCCGACCCTGGCCCCGCGCTACCAGCCCCCGCCCTGTCCATCACCGCCTGGCCCCTCCCCCACGGCGTCCCCCCATTCCTCTCTGCTTATCCCCCAGCGCCTCTTCACCCTGCCTGTCCAAGACTGCGGCCCGGGGGGCCCGCAGAAGACTCCCCCGTAGGGCCCCCTTGCTGACGGCCGCCCCCCACTGCAAAGACTGTGCACCCCCCCCACCCAGCTGTCACTGCCAACCATGGCACGTATGACCGCTGGGGCCCCACATGAGGCCTTGTCACCACCCCAGCCCCTCCTCTCCTGGCCTCCCTCCCCAGATTATAATCCCCTCACTTCCTCACTCACCTCTTCTACATATGGGACCCACTGCCAGACCCCGACCCCGGCTTCTACCGGTCCGGGAGTGCTGTGGGGTCTGCCTCCAACCCCTAGGGACCTTGGCCACTTGGTGACCACACCCCTCCCCCTTCCAGCCCCCGCCATCTTTATCCTGCCCTTCACCTTATCACAGCCCCCCCTCCAAACCCACCCTGTCCCCCTTGAGCAATTCCCAGAGCCACCTCCAGCATTGTTTTTCCCTTCTGTGTCACTTGGCATGGGGTATAGGATCTTTCTGGGTCCCTCTGCCCCTCTCTCATCCTGTCACTCTGCCTCTGTGCTTGCGCTCCCTCCTCCAAGCAAGCGTCTGTCCCTGGCTGGGGTAGCAAGCTGTTTATGAACCTGGAGAACTGCTTCAGTGTTTCCAAAGCCAAGTTTGAGCTGGTCTTGCTGGGGTTCATTGCGTCCTCTTTTCTGGGTTGGGGGTGGGGGGCGTGGCAGAGCCCTCTCCCATCTTATGGTGTGCAGTGAGCTCTAGGCTCCTTGGAGGGCCCCTCAATAAGTGGTTGTTTCATAGCTGAGGCTCCGTCATTCACCCAGTTCCCGGGGCTTCTTCACCCATTCCTGGCTTGAGATGAAAAGTTTAGCAAGGCTCATTCAGCTTGAACTGGGATAGTCAGAAAGAGGACTTGGGGCAGGGGTCGGGGAGAGCAGTCGGGAAGAGTAGTGGGTGACATCAAGTGATTTGCTTTGCCACAGGACAAACAGATTCTGATCATTCTCAGGACTCAGCCAGAGAGAAGCCTGTTTTACCCACTATCCCCCGGATTATGTTGGCCTTTTCCATCCAGACAGAGAAAGAGATTCTGTATCTGGAGATGCCTTCAGAAATGGTCTTGAGGCCTCCTTCCCAATTCCTCCAGCTCTTAAATTGTCATCACTCCAGGCCTAAAGCTGGACTTCAGCTGGGATTCCCTTCCAGTTACCCAGAAATAGTCAGAGATGAAAAGGGAGGCCACATCCAACTACACCTTTCCCGGTTCTTGGTCTCAGACCCCAGGATCTCAGTCCCCTGAGCGCCACCTCCCAGAAAAACACGAAAAAGGCTTGAAAGCCGGGGAACTTTATTCCCACAGGGATTCAAATGGCAGAATTCAAGAGTAGCAGAGCAGCCACGAAGAGGCCTGACAAGTCACTGATGGGCGGGGAGACGGGGAAGCAAGTGCCTGTAGTTGAGTGCTTGATGACAGAGGAGCAGGTGGGCAGTGTCCTAAAACGGTCTGGCCGTGATCTTGGAGGGAACTAGGCAGAGGCGGAGGGACCAGGCCCCCAGCAGGTGAGGCCAGCCGGGAGGTGGAAGGTGGAGGCAGGCAACTATGTATTGTAGTGGCTCAGTTGAAAGTTGGGGAGATGACATAGTCCTGGAAAACCTTCAAGGCATATCAATCACATGCAATGGGGGGTGGAAAGCCGCACAGGGAAAAAGACCCCAAGAAAAAGATCAGAGCTCCGGAAGGAACTGCTAGTTGTCTCTGAGCACAGGCCAGACACCCAGGAATGAACGATCATGGTGAAATAGAGCTACTCTTTATTAGGCATCTAGGATGTGCCAGGCTAAACGGTCTCCATAGATATATCTGCACTGGTGATTTTCCTAATAGGCTGTTATCTGAATTTTCCAAAGAAACTCTCTGAGCTTGACATCAATGATGTCACAGAGGCAGGATCCAGATCTGTCTACCAGCAAACTTCTTGGACCCCAGAACTTCCCAACTCAGGCATTCTTAAGCCACTTCCCATATTTTTCCTCTATTCACTTATATTTTCTTAATTAAAATTTACTCACTTCTGGGCCGAGCCCGTGGCACACTCGGGAGAGTGCAGCGCTGGGAGCGCGGCAGCGCTCCCGCCGCGGGGTCGGATCCTATATAGGGATGGCCGGCGCGATGCGCTCACTGGCGGCTGAGCGTGGTGCGGCCAGCCACAAAAAGGACAAAAAAAAAAAAAAAAAACAATTTACTCACTTCTGTTCAGAAACAACCTTTGGGGCCGGCCCCGTGGCGCACTCGGGAGAGTGCGGCGCTTGGGAGCACAGCTGCGCTCCTGCCGCGGGTTCGGCTCCTATATAGGGATGACCGGTGCGCTCACTGGCTGAGCGTGGTGCGGGTGCCACCAAGCCAAGGGGGGTGATCCCCTTACCGGTCACACAAAAAAAAAAAAAAAAAAAAATTTACTCACTTCTGTTCAGAAACAACCTTTGGGGCCGGCCCCGTGGCGCACTCGGGAGAGTGCGGCGCTTGGGAGCACAGCTGCGCTCCTGCCGCGGGTTCGGCTCCTATATAGGGATGACCGGTGCGCTCACTGGCTGAGCGTGGTGCGGGTGACACCAAGCCAAGGGTGGTGATCCCCTTACCGGTCACAAAAAAAAAAAAGAAGCAACCTTTGATTCTGTCCTAAGCAATAATATAAATGAAATCATGGGATTGTTATGCCGGTTATAGTCTCTCTGATACATATTAAAATACAACGTAACTAGATAAATGTTAAAATCATTTCATGTTCTGCCAGTGTGACCAAGTCATACTTTGGGAAACGCCTGAAGCTGTATTTCCTTTCAGAGGCTCCCAGAGAAGGAAATAGGATGAGGAAGGAAGCCCTTCTTTGCTTCAAAGCTCTCTGATTCTGAGAGGATGGAGTTAGACAAAATTTGCCCTCTTGTAACCAGGGTGGGGCAGGGGCTGGGGGTAGTAGCCAGTACAGCCTGCAGGGGGCACCTGAATTTCATCTGCCAGACACCAGCCTAGCTGGGGTCAGGAAAATGGCCAAGCCTTAGTAGGCACCAGTTAAACATCCTGCAGCTCCTTGTGTTGCCATCTCTCTGTCAGGGCAGGACAGGGTCTGTCTCCTCCCAAGAGGGCAGGGATCTAGAATGAGCTCTGGGATGGGGTGGGGTGGGGGAAATCTGCACCCAAAGATGACAAACCATTAGCAGGGCTGAGAGGGCAGAGAAAAAAGACCTAACCCTAGGCTCTGGCCAGTCTGGAAGAATTGAGAGAGGGCAGCATCCCCAGGAGGCCCCTGGGTCAGACAACCAAGTGGGGCTCAGGTCTTGGCTGGCACTGGCCAAAGATATCCCGGGGAGCTGGCCCACAGGGGAAGGGGCAGAGCTGGTAAGAGGGAGCCCCCCAAAAAAACCCAAAGCCCCAGAGTCAAGCAGATCCAGGCACTGAGAGCAAGGTTCCCCCAAGAAGTCCTTGGATGGGAAGAACTGTTACTCTCTAACATCCTACAGATGCCCGGAAGTGCCCAATGCATTCTGTGCACTGGCAGTTGTACGGGTGCCCACGAGGGTCCTGCCAAGGCAGTTTTTCCCTTATCCCCATCTGGTCTACAGAAGGTTGGAGGGTCCTATCTGTCCCTCCCCTGCACCCCCTGGCCTCCAGGTTGGGTTCTCTTCCTGCTGCCACCCCCCCAACTCCCTGGCTCCCCCTACAGGCAGGGCTCTGGGGATGGGCAGCAAAGCTGGTGCGGCAGGTCTCATGAGCCTTCCCAGCCACCGTAGGCCGGGTGCCCTGCGAGAAGACTGAGTGATGGCTTCCAACTCCAGCGATGGTGAGGCTGAGCCCTGTTGCTATAGCAACTTCCCAGGCACTGTACCCCTCAAGTCAGGGAGGGGCTGCAGTAGGGTTGGGGGAGTAGGCAGAAAGCAGGAGTCTGTGGACCCCTGGCTGGCCCCGGAAACCCCTCCCTTACTAACACTCCTGGGCTGTGGGGCCTGGGAAACAGCGGTGGGGGGATGGTCCACCTAGAGGGCGCGTCCAGCTCAGACAGGGGCAGTAGGGTGTTCCAGTCCAGTGTTGGGGTTCAGTTCAGGATGAGGATTGGTCCAGCTCAGACTGGGAGATGGTGCAACCCAATGTTGGGGTCCAGCTCAGACTGGAGAATCATCCAGTTCGGAATGGGGGTCCAGCATAGATTGGGAGTTGGTCCGGTCTGGTGATGGGATCCAGCTCAGACTAGGGGATGGTGTAGCCCAAAGCAGGGGATCGAGTCTAGACCGGAGGAACTAGTCAGCCTGGAGTGGGGGTCCCAGCCCAGCTTGGACATTCCTGCTCCAGAATTCCCAGGACAGCCATGTTTTGGAGGGCAGAGGGTCTGAGATTATTATCTGGAGGAGGGGGATCCTGAGGCTGAGCTCCTTTTGAGGGAGCCCTTAAGTCCCTTGCCCAACTTGTCATTCTGCAATCCCCCATTCCCAAGGTGAATTTCTAGATTTCTGCCTACTGCTGTGGCCCTGGTTTTCAAGGGGTGTCTGGGGATTTGTCTGTGAGCCCAAATTGAATCAGGACCAGAGTGGAGGCTGGCACCCCCTGTGTGGGAAATGTGGACAGAGTGGCAGGCTCCACAGGCCAGCAGCTGGCTGAGTTACCTCCTCTGCCACTTCTGGTTGCCAGCAGGGCCCACAGGTGTCAAGTACTTCGGAGAGGCTGCCACTGACCCTCTGCTTCTTTGGGGATCTGGAAAGAAGGAGGAAGATGGTCAAGGCTGCCTCCCCTCCCCCATCTCTGGGTTTAGCCGTTTGTTTCCGGTTTGGACTTTCATGGCCGAAAGCAGAGCCAAGCACAGGGCAAGGTTTGACAGAGGCCAAGGACATCCCAGGATGCCGCTCCCCTCTCCGCCCCTGCCTAGGAACAAGACAAATAGCCAGATGTACCCATTTCTCTCTCAGGGTAGCAGGATTTGGGGGCTCCACATTGAAATGAAAGTCAGGGGAGGAGACACAGTGCCTCTTGTCTCACACAACACCCCCAGCCTTTCCCTCCAGCTGTTCTTTCAGCTAATTAACAGAGCTCTAGGGCCTCTTTAGCCCCCAGGGAGTCTCTGGCTGTTGCCTGAGCCTGGGCCTTAACTCCTTCCCCTCTGCCCAGTGGGCACTACCCTGGGCACATCGGGTGCTGTCCTCTGGACAGTCCAGCACCCACTGAGGAAGGCAGAGCCTGGCATCCTGAGAGCAGTAAAGTCCCTGGAACGGGATGTTAGCTCTAGTGCCCCGCCCCGGGGCAGCCGGGCCAGCCAGAGGGACACCCTCGGGAGAATCTTCCCACCACCTCCTGCCAAGGAGGGCCTCTGCAAACCTTGGCCAGCTGGGAGCAGGTACCTTTAAATGCGTCCGTGGCAACCAGCTCCTCCTCCCTGGTCCCCCCCCCCCCCCC